AAATGAAATATAGCTGTTTTTCATATTTTTACATCAAAAAAGCAAAACCTGAATAAAATATAGCTGATTTTCATATTTCCCTATAAACCAAACTTCCAATCTGAATAAAACATAAATCTGATTTTTATGTAAAATGTCAAAATTTTATTAAGTATAACTGATTCTTTTTCATCCGTATAAATTCAGATTCTGCATAAAATATTGCTGACTTTTATATTTCTATATGAAATAGTCAAAATATGAATAAAATACAGTTGATTTGCATATTTCCATATAAAAATTCTAAATCTGCATAGAATATTGTTGATTTTCATATTTCTATAGCAAAACTTAAAAACTGAATAAAATATAGCAGATTTTCATGTATCTATAACAAAAATTCAAAATATGGATAAAATATTGCTGATTGTCATATTTCTAGATAAAAATGTCACAATCAGAATAAGATATAGCTGATTTTCATATTTCTATATAAAAAAAATACAAAATTTGAATGAAATTCCAAATCTGTATAAAGTATAGTTCATATTTCTAAATAAAACAGTCAAAATCTGCATAAAATATTGCTGATTTTCATATTGTGTGTAAAAAAAAAAAAAATCCCCAAAAAACATACAATTAATGTAACTAGGTATCATCACTAGTATTAGCAGTTCAGACATAATTTTGATTGGCAGAATACTGTGTTATGTAAAAGATTTTTGCCTCATTTTTAGTTCTATTATATCAGCAAATATCACTGGCAGTAAATCAAGCACATCATTTGAAAGTGTGAGCTCTTTAGTTAGCTTTGTGTCAGGACCTGAGGTAGATGCCCATGATGTCTAAAGTGAGTCCTTGGAAGAAAGACTGACAACCCCCACCCCAACAAAGTAATAGTCCCAAACCAAGTTGCCTTATCTAGGATCTCATGTACAGAAGAAAATGGCGCTCTACTTTGATAGCCAAAGCAATTTTTGTGTTTCATACTGTTTTTGTTAAAAAAAAAAAAATCAAATCAAATAATGCCTCTCCACTGGATGTAGTCAGTGAACATACAAATTTGTTTTGCTCTGCTCCTAGCCAATTATAGCACAAGCATCACGGAGTTGAATAGAAATTGAAATCCTTTCAATCCTGGCCAATTGTAAAGTGTAGTAAGTCTAGTAGACGGCTTAAAAAAACTACTGATTTTTCTGTCATGATAGTAGTTGTAAACTTCAATAAAGTGGCTGCAATTAGTGGAAGCAAACCTTGTGACTTTTTGAAAAATTCTATTTGCCCTTTTACAATAGTGTGCCAAAAAGTCTCCTATTAGCCTTCTTCACATTTTGAAGTCAGAGTTTTCCTTCTAGACTGGTTGCTACCCAAGGCAAGAGAGACCAGTCTGCTCTGCTATTTAATCCACAGTTGGAAGAAGATGTATTAATTCATACTATTTCAAAGTGAATGATACAGAATCAACTAGAATTTGAACTTTGCACAGTGATTTCACTTTCCATGCTATAACCTCTATACTATCTATATATCCAATATATATAAATCTCATGTCATTACTTTGCATATAAAGATGAACTGTTTACATATCTTGCAGGCTTGCCATTGATTAACAAGACTTGCATAAGATAGTTTTTTTGCAGTGGATTCAGATGAGAGATTGGTAGCTGGAAGAAGTGACTAGTTTATGATATTACTTTTTCTCTACTGCTCTGAGTCTGCAGATGGATTCAGTGTGAATGACAACCTGGAAAATCTTGTGGCATCAAGAGATAGATGTGTGCATGTGTGTAATATGTAATTATATATTATATGTAATATATATATAACCTGTTCAATTTAAAAAAAATGTTTCCATAACAGTTGTTACATTTAGCGTAGGGAATGTGTACACAAATATAACAACTACTATGGGATAGAGGTAGTGAAACATTTATTTAGAAAATTATAAGTGGCATAAGGTGATATATATTTTACTTATCAGTTTGACATTGACATTGATTTATTCTGATAATTTTTTCTGTGTTTTCTTTTCAGATTTGAATGTGATTTCCAAAGAAAAAGAGGGACTAGAAAGACAAATTGATTTACTGAATGGGCAAATCTCTTTGATTGAAGGTGGCAAGAAACGAAGTGAAGAAACAATTAAGAAAATGGAAGAGGAACTAATGAAAATTAAGGCTGAAAATGAGAGCCTCAAAACCAAGTAGGTAATTTGTTTATAAACTGGTGAGCAGATGTGTATTTAGTGTATTGGGGCAGCAGCTCATTATTCAAACATATATTAATAAATATAACAGACAAATGTCTATTATGTTTGATCATGAGCCTCTCTAAACTTAATGTAGTTGGTTTAATTTCAGTAGTAAATAAAAAAAGACAAGCTGATAAAACTAATATTTTTGTTATTTTAAACATGAGTACCACTCAAAATTACAGGCTATTTTGGACAATCATAATAAATTTAAAAGTTAACTAATAACACACCTCCCAGCTTAAAAACCATATCAATAAACTTATTACCACTAACAATGCTGAAACAGGATCTTATAAACTTCAAAACATTATAGGTGACTATCAACCTGGCTGGAAATGTAAAAATCCATAAAAAAGATCATCCCCTCCAACCGATCATTTCACAAATACCTACACCAGTATATTACCTTTCAAAAACCCATAACAAATTAATTACTCCCTACCTCCCAAGTAAATATTGTATTTACTCCACAAATTCTTTATACTGTAAAACCAAACAACCAAATAATCATATCTCTGGATGTACAAAATTTATTTCCTAATGTCCCTGTCAATGAAACAAGTGACATCATTATCCGTGATGTATACAATCATACTTCTCTCTCACCCATCAATTTTAAACCTACTTTTTAAAAAAAATTATTATTAGCATGTACCACTCAAGTACCTTTTCATGACCCCCTAGGTAATATTTATACTCAAATAGACTGTATTGCAATGGGCTCTCCTTTAGGCCCCCTTTTTTCTAATTATATGGCATATTTAGAAAATAAAATACTTAATGACACTAATAAACCCCTATATATGTAAGATACATAGATGACATTTTTGTTTTAGCTAAAAATCAGCTCATGATCAAACATAATAGACATTCATTGTGTGTTAAATTTAACATATATATATATATATATATATATATATATATATAATTAGAAAAAAAAGAGTCCATGTATGCTTCATATAGTTTATAAAATAGAGTAGATAAGTTGGTCAATAAAACAAATGAAAGGGTACCGATTAAATCAATACGAAAAACATTTATTAATATTAACCAGGTGACAAAAATGAAGCACAGAGACAGGTTCCAAGTTCTGTATTTTTGAACACGCCTGTGTTCTTCATCAGTGGATGTGAGAAATAAACAGTGATGGTGGAAACTATCCAACATTAGTTTTTTGGGGTGGGTATAATGTCTATCTTGATACACAACACATCTATTTTTGTATGTTTTTTTCAATTCCCCTTTTCATATTATCATTATCTTTATTTTTAGTATTATTTTTTTTTTTTAGTTTATTCCCCCCGCCCCCATTGTCTACCAATGATTTTCCTATTCAATTATAATACCCTTAAATTAAGCTATATTTGTGCTGATAACCTGGAAAAAATAATTAAGAAACATAATAACAGTCTTCAACAAGTATAGGGACTCAAAAAAACTTGACTAATTGTCAGATTGCAGTGAGTAAAATTAAGTATAATGACACTAATAAAAACTTGTGCAATTGTAGGAATCCCAATAATTGCCCATTACAGAATAATTGTTTAACTAGTTCTCTAATTTATCTTAGTACAATTTCTACACTAGAAAATCCCAATATTAAAAAATTTTACATTGGAAGTACTATGAACATATTTAAAGACTTCATTGTCTAAGTATTTTTGGAGTTTAAAGGAGAAAAATAGGGCACCTACTGTTAAATGGAAATAAATTAAGAGAGCACAAGCATGTAATTCCCTATATGCCCCTTGTTATTTATGTCTTAATGAAAAATTTGAAATCATTAGATTTAAAGACAAGGAATGAACTCGGTTAACTGTAAACATAGCTCAAAATTTAACCTACTATAAGAGTAGTAATATTTTTGACAATATTGCAAAATTATTGTAAGTTTAGTATGTTATCACATATATTATTGGCTTATCCTCCTATTTATGTACATATATGTATTTATACGTTTATAATGTTGTTTGTGTGTACATGTGTGTATATTTTTTGTAAAAATTTATATATGTGTATATGTATTATATGTAGGTATGTATGTATGCATATATGAATATATTTGTACTTTTATTTATGTATATATATATATATATATATATATATATATATATATATATATATATATATATATATATATATATATATATATTATTAGTATTCTCACACTTTTCCTCAGTTATCTTGGATTAGAAAGCCTAGTGTTTCTAGGGTAGAGTGAAAAGTTGGTGACTTTTTTGTTTTTTGATTCTGTCAATTACACAATTTTTTCAGTAACCTATAAAATGCCAATTTGAAGTTATTTTTAGCCATTAAAAACCTTAGTTATTTTCTATTCAATTAATTCCATAATTTGTTCAAATTATCTCTCTACAAAGATTTCTATTATTGGTTAACTACATGTATGAGAACAAGCACTGCACATGACTGGAGGAAAATCCAGAATAATAAGTTTTGTTGATATGTTTTTTCAGTTGCCAGAATGAGACGCTGAGCCATGATGGAGAATCACAGGCATATCAAACTGAATTGGATAGAATAAAGCAGGAACTGCAGGAGACTAAACTAGAATTGCAAAAGCAACAGGAGGCTTACAAACTTTTGAAACAAGTTAGTGCTTCTTATTTTCCTGCCAAGCTACACAAAATTTTTACATTAAGAAAAGGTTGATTTGCAAAAAATTCATATACCATATTGAAAGAAAGTTGAAATCAAATGAGGACATGCTGGTTGCATATGGTGTGTCATGACTGTGCTGATTTTTTAATTATTGGTATTTTTCAATTTTTTTAATCTATTGTAATTTGATTCACTAACAAAACAAAGAAATGATGCAACCATACTCACAATAAATTTTAGCTAATGGTCTAAGAATCCAAAGTTTGCTGTAAGTTTATATTACTAGTAAGGTAGAGTCAAGGAATAGACATTAGATTGCTTAAAAAAGTGAAGGTTATTAGAAAAAAAATGAATTCTATTTCAAATTGTATTTGATTATTTTATGTTATTAAAATTAAATTCAAAGGAAAATTATTTATATTTATTATTATCTATATATATAAAACTGACTGTGTGTGTGTGTGTAAGTGTTCGTGAACTACTCAAGAACTGTAAGGCATATTTCCACCAAATTTGGAACATAGATTGTACTTGATACTGGGTGTGTCTGGAGAAAAAAATTAGTCATTTTTCAAAAATCAATAACTGATAATCGATAAATGTTTAAATGGGAATTTCCATTACTTTGGTTGTTTTTAAACTTTCAGACTTGAAGTCTAAACTCTAAGGCTGATTTTAATGAAACTTCATAAGTGTATGCAACTTACTGCCACGCTTATTATATGCTATATTGATTTTCATTTCTCTCAACACTGGGACCTCCAGGGTGCCCCAAAGGGACCCCCAAAAATTCAAATTGCTTCGATTTTGATGAAAGATTGCATGTTTGTTACACTCTTACAATGAGATAGAAATCGGTTATCAGATTTTTAAAAATGCATGAGGGGGAGCCGAGGATGATCCTATAAACCCCTTGATGCCTCAATTGCTTTTTAAGTGTATTTTGTAGCAGTATTCCCCAATTTCAATGAAAATTTCAGTACATATTGAGATTATATCGAGTAACTGAATTAGTCACTTGGAATTCACTGAAAATCAACACTTGGATCCCCACGAGTTAGGGGACCATCAAGGAACCCCAAAATTTTCAATTAAGTCTACAGCCTTGGCCATAAAGTCGATTAAATAGAAAACTTATAAAAGACGTGCTTAATTATTTCAATTACTATTAGTCTTAAACCTGTCCTTTGGCTTGAAATTTGGGACCCCTAGGGTGAACCAAAGGGACCCCCAAATTTTCAAATTGCTTTGATTTCGACAGAATTTTACATGTATGTTAACAATCTTAAAATGAATCAAAAACGATTATCAGATTTTGAAAACTACATAAGGAGCCCCCAAGATGACCCATGAACACTTTGCTGCCCCATTAGTCTTTCAATTGTAGTGCATTCCAATTAAAATTTGTACATAATTTGTGTTTAGATCAATCAACTCAAAATCAAAACTGATACCCCATGTGTCATAAATACATTATGAAAAATATCAGTTTTTCCCATGGATTTCCCGTTTTGGTACTGAAATAGTTTAGTTTGCATTAACTTGACGGCAAAAATTATATCATTACTTAAGAAAAAAAAATAAGTGCAAATGAAAGTGTGCACCAATGAAAGAAGTGCACGTAGGTATAAGACGCGCGTGCGAGATTGATCGAGATGTGTGGTCTGTACAATTGATTTTGCTCCATGTGCAATGATCGATCGAGTTATGTAGTGCGTACTATCGATTTTGCTTCACGTGTAATGTTCATTAGTGCTATGTGATGAAATAGATGCAAAAAATCTCATTCGCATCAAAGTTGTCATCCAGTAAAAAGGTAGGCTGCCTTCATGCATGTATATTTTGAATTTTTGATAATTTAAATTTGTGAAAATAATATTAAAAAATTTTAAGCGTAAATGCCAATTTTTAATTATGTATTTATCATCTTCTAATCAGCGTTTAAATAATGCTTACTAACTCATATATTTGGAAACTTGAGCCCTAAAATTTTGACAGTTTTATTCTGAAAAATGCACTTATAATAATGTAAAGACCCTCTTTTGATTCATTTATAATTATGCTAAACTTAGCGTGTACGTTTTAAGGTTCATAGTGAGTAGGTTTCTAGCTGCACATTAATTTTTATTTTTATCACTAGAACATTTTTCTGTAGTCTATTTTTAGATAAATCCTAACTTTACGAGCTTGCTTATAATTGTTTGCCACGTTCCCCTGGTCTCCCTTATAAACTTTCCAATTAATATTTCCATTAACCCCTTCAACTACAGCCTGACAGTAATGCCAAGAAAGCGAAATCCTTCACTTGGACATGCTAGTACTACAGCCAAACACATGAAAGCATGGAGAAGAAATGTTTCACAACAAGAAACTCAAATTAGACTGACACAAAATGCTATTCATACAGCTAATGCAAGGTCAGAAGAAACTAATGAACAACAGTTAACTAGACGAGGAATGAACGCTGCCAGAACCTCTGCTACTCGAGCTGTCGAAACTGGGAGGCAAAGAACAATTCTATACAGTCTTTGTGAACGTTGGTTTTCAGCCTTGGCACAGCTGCTAGGAAAAGTCTTTGTTGAATTTCTTCTCCTTCCAATGCATGTTGTTCATTCGATGTAGTTTGAGCAAAAGCTGTCAGCAAAGCATTTCTCCTCAACAATTTTCGAAGATCGATTGCGATTAATGTACTCTTCACTTGCTGACAAATTTTTTGTATCTTCTGTAAAAAACAACTTTCTCCTGTGAACTTTTTTGAATAAACCCAGGCAACGCCGGGTAATGCTGCTAGTTGCTTATAAAATAGGTTTGTGGGGGGGGAAAATGGACATTTTTTTTTAGTTCAGTACTTCCTTTCTGACCACTTATAGATATTTTTGCCAGTTCCTTCTTCCATTTTTGACATTGGAAAGTATTGAGCAAATAGACATTCTGGAAAATGGTTACATCACTCTTCTGCAACACATAGAAGATGGGGAGGATCAAATAATTTGCACCTTAGTATACTGACTTTTGCTGTAATTTTTGTTGGAGATGGGCATTACTCAACTAAATTAAAAATAAAATATCTGTTTTTGCAACAGTGTCATTAGTGAAGTCACCTTTTCAGAAAATTCTCCCAGTTTGTTATTCTGCACTTTTTATTCATGCTCATCTTATATCTAGGCATATTTTTCATTAATTACTTGAGTGCAAATTTGTTATTTGGATATTCTGGTCTACCAGTGTAGCTTAAGCTATTAAAATGCTAATTCATAATAGGACAAGAAATGGCGAATGTTGTGGGGAGATTATTGATGTTTTATTTATTTTTGTTTTCCTTTTTCTGTTTCATAACAGATGTTAATTTACATCCATAATCTATAATGGGGCAGAAGTAATATTTTTCATGTATTGGATATTTGATGATTTTTAAATAACTCAAACATTTCTGTTTTGAAAATCTGTTTTCTATTCTTATTTTTTTTTTAATTTTTGTCTTTTCTTCCTTCTCTACTTCCTTTCTTTCTCAATTTTTTTTTTATTCATTTTTGTTTTCATTTTTATCTTGACATTCTTTTCTCTTTCTTACTTGGCTTTTAGTGTATCAGAAGACATTTCTCTGTCTCATCCACAGGCACATAAGAAGAGGTAACAAATAGATAATCAAATCTATAGATATTTCGAACATTGCAATATCTTTTGGTCTTTTTTCCATTAATCCTTAATGGTATTTCTTGCTTGTCTGGGTTTCTCTGGCATGTTATAAAATTTCAGTTCAAAATCTTAAATGATTTTTAAATTATGGGAATTTGTTTAAAAATTTCTCAAAAAAAAAAAAAAACAATCAATATCCCATAAAAGAGATCATAACTTTTTGTATCTTTTGTTATCTCACATTTTTGCTTTTCTGAATTTTATTTTCCCCACTTAAAGTAATTGTTTTTCCTATCATGAAATTTTATAATAATCTACATCATTTTTCAGCATTAGTCAGTTTGTAAGTTATTACAACACTGTTTTCTTTTGATAAATAATAACCATTTCTTATTTTCTCTTCAGGTAAACTTATAAATAATTTATTTCATGAATATTTTTATAGGAAAGCTTTTTTGCTTTTGAAACATCCCAGGAATCTTTATAATAACTAATATTTAAAACAAAAAACTTTATCCATGTAAAGAAAATCTCTAAATTCAATGTAAATATTTTGTTCAACTACTTGATTAATCATTATAAAGTATTTTTATTATTATATTGTCACTATGATGAATTGCTTGTACACTATGTGATTTAAAATTTGTTTATTTAATAAATATTTTGCATGGCCTAAAAGACAAGCTAAATGATAACCAATTAAAGCATTGCTGACTAGTTGCAAGTCAAGAGTTTACTTACAGGGTGTCTGTGCATTAATTAGTACTTACAAATATAATATCTAACTGATATATTTATTTTGATTATAAACTTGTTGTTTTATCTGTGCAAGTATTCATTTGATTTTCATTTAAAGTATATTGAGGTTTTAACAGTATCTACTTTCATAGCATTTGACAATCTTGTATTTAGTTGTTGAATTTACTATTTCAGGATCAAGTAGTGTTTTTTTTTTTTTTCTAAGTTACCAATTTTGCATGAGGAAAGTTGGCTCCCTGGAGTCAATCCTCCAGATCTACAAATCCACAATTCGCCCTTGCATGGAGTATTGCTGCCATATATGGTCTGGTGCCCCTTCTGTCTGCCTCAGGGTTCTTGATAGGCTCCAGAGGCGGATATGCAATGTGGTTGGCCCTGCCCTGGCGTGTCGTCTACAGTCACATTCTCACAGACGCGTCGTCGCCTCCCTCTGTCTGTTCTACAAATACTTCCATGGAAATTGCTCCGAGGAGCTGCATTTGCTGGTTCCCAGACGTCACAAGTTCCAGTGCCTCACGAGGCTGGCATCCCGCTCTCACCCCTTCACTGTCGAAACTCCTAAATATAGCTGTCTCTTCTACTCTAATAGCTTCATGTCTCGCACCTCTCACTTGTGGAACTCCCTTCCCTTTTCCTGTTTCCCTGTGAGCTATAATCTCCAGCTATTCAAGTGTAATGTCAATCGACATCTCCTTGATCTATCCACTACCCTCATCCTTTCTTCTATCACTCCTATCTGATCTTGCTCTAAATTTTCTGTAACCCCTTGCGTCCTAGTGGCTTCCCGCCTTGCTTGGGGTGAAATGCTTAAAAAAAAAAAAAAAAATGAGGCAATGTGTTTCTCTACATTGTCAACTTTATAAATATAAAATGGAAACAGATTTTGTTTAATGGTTTATTAAACTTTTAACTCAAGGAAACACTAGTTGCTAGCTCTTAAAGTTCTTGAGTAAAAAGATGCCAATTTAGAGAAATACTACCTCATCAGTAGTCCCCGTATGTGGCTTTGTGTTGTATGAACTTGAAAAATATTGATTACTTAAGAACACAAGAATGCATAAATAAAAATGTCAGAGATTGTGCAATGTTTTCCTGTGTTTGTGTTATTTTCATAGTAGTATAAAATGATTTTGAAAGTAAGATAGTGAAAGAGAAATATATTTCAGCTAATAAATCTGACAATTCAGTTATCAAACCATGTAATGAAAATGAAAATAAATGGTTCCAGAATATTGTTAGTTTTTTAATTTGTACCATATAAACATATATCTGCATTAACATATATCTGTATCATATAAACATAGTGTTTATATTTTTCTTTTTGCTTTATCAGCCTAATTCAAATTGAAATGTTAATGCATGTTGTCAGTGACTTTTTCAATTTGTATTAATGAGCATTGGTAAATAATGAATCAGCATATTTAGTTTAGATTTAGAAATGTTCTCCTTTTGTTTTGCTTGCCTTTGTTCCTTTCAGTATTCTGACTTGAAACCTTCATTGACATTTACCTTTTAGTTAGATTCCAGATATTTCAAGCATTTTATAATACCCCCTCTACACACACACATCTAGACAACATGTAAACATATTAGTTTTGTCTTGTCATTAATGCTTGTATTAATTTCTGATCATTGATTACCTTTTCACTTGGTTTTCACTACAAATTTACAAGTGAAACTCATTAAAATTGCAAATTTTGCTGTTTAATTCTCATTTTTTGTTTCTCTACCTGACAAAATTATTTTACTGCAGAAGATAAAACAAGGTAAATAGGTAAAGTAACGCTAAAGTTAGTGAACAATGACAAGAAAAGCTGAAATATTGTCTAAAGAGTTCAAATGCAGCTCATTCTAACACAACTGTGATTATATTTTTTTAATCTCTCCTTCCCAGATGCATTCTGTTTTACTGTCCCTATGCATATAATTATTAAAATGAATGAAAATTTTTAAATATTTATTTCATAAATCCTACTTATATTACAATTTACATAATCAGTAAGAAATAAGTTATTAAAATAAACAATTTTTTTAGACTGATTTACTTAGATTATTAATGACCAGTAGTAGTCAGTACTTCTTCAATCACTAAGCAATTTGACTACTTTGGAGAAGGATGTCAGTCTTGTTTTATTTGATTTTGACTATGTACTAAGGTATCTTTTATCAATATCAGTTGTGAGTTAAAAATATCTGATACCATTCACTAACCAACACTTTAATCTATGCCATTGTCCTACAGAGCTTGAAGCAAGAACTTGGAGATTTAAACCTAACTGATGTTCTTGCCTCCTCTGCTATTGCAGCCTTTTTCACAAGCTTGGCTCCCTCTACCACTGTTTTTCTTTCTTTTGTATTGCTTTCCTTTTGTCACTGCAGATGAGGACATTAATCCAACTGTAAATAATGTAAATAATAATTTCTCATACCAAAGACTCAGACAGAAGTGTGTATAATTACATTATAATCACACCTCTTTTCAGAATCTAAATGTAGAACTCTTTACTTTTCAGTAGAAGCTAACCTGTTTATATGCCAAGTCAAAAATATGCAGCTTTATTTAGAAATTGACTGAACCATTTCATCTTGGTTAAGGCTTGTTTGTGTTGTGAATCACAAGTGGGTTATTTCCCTTCTAAGTGCTATTGATTCATATTGGTGTTTGAATTAAGATAGTGAGGATGAAAGACATGTTCATAAGCTGGCTGCATAAAATCCAAGGATGGAATACTGATATTGGAGAAAGAAAAATACTTTAGAGATGGAATGAATATATTGGAGAACTTTTCCACAACAAAAGAGAACACAGAAATACTGATGAACTGGAAATATTAATAGCCAAAGTGGACGCTGCACTGGCCAAATTGAAGAGAAACGAAGCAGCAGGGCCTGACAGAATTGTAATAGAGATGCTGGCGGCCTTAGATGATTTCAGCTTAGACACGATACTGGAAGACCTAAGCAAATCTATTTTCATAGCACTGTCTAAGAAACCAGTTGCAAACAGATGTGAACTTCACTGGACAATCAGCCTAATGAGTGACATAACAAAACTCATCTTCTGAATTCTGATGAATCAGACCAAAGATAGAACAAGAACAATATGGGTTTGTCAAAGACACTGGAACAAGGAATGCAATATTTATGTTCAGAATAATATTGGAAAGAGCAATACAAATGCAGAAGAATGTGTATCTGTGTTTCATAGACTACGCAAAAGCATTCGATAAAGTACACCACAAAGATCTGTTAGAGCTGCTCAGCAACCTTGACATATTCAGGAAAGACATTAGAATAATCACAAATTTATACTGGCAGCAAAGCACATGCATATGGATAAAAAAAATGAGTTCAGCAAATATGCAAAAATAGAAAGTGGTGTAGAACCAGGATGTGTCTTCTCACCGGATTTATTCAACCTATACAGCAAGGCAATTCTGAGAGAATTAGAAGTCCTAGGATTCATTATTGGTAGCCACAATCTTAATAGTATAAGATATGCAGATGACACAGCGTTGATAGCAGACATGGCAAGGAAACTACAAAAAGCTCCTACAGAAGGTAGTGAAGGAAAGCAAGAAGGACTAAGTATAAACTACATGAAAACAGAATGTATGGTTAACAGCAAAAAGATGAGCCCAAAATGCAAATTACAGGATGGGGAGATCAAAATCAAGTTGGTACAAAAATTTAAATATCTGGGAAGTGTTCTAACAGAGGACAGAAGGTGTGATGCTGAGATAATGCCAAAGATGCATTTCAAAAGCTAAACAGAGTATTAAGAGACAGAAAAATTTCATTAGAAACAAAGAAAAGAGTACTGAACTGTTATGTAATATCTGTCCTCCTGTATGTCAATGAATGCTGGACAGTCTCCTCAAAGATGAAGAGACTTGAAGTAACAGAAATGTGGTTCTACAGAAAGAAGCTGAGGATATCATGGGCCAAACAAGGTTTTGGAAAGAATAGAAACAAAAAGGAAACTTATACAGAGCACAATGGGAAAAGGGCTTGGAGAACCCGAGGGAAAGAGGGGCAGAGGAAAGCAGCACATAGCATACTTGATGAGCTTGAGCAAATGGATGGCAGAACAGGGTTTGGGAGAAATAGCAAAAAGGCAAAACTTATTAAGTGCTACACGGGACAAGAGGAAGTCCATTATCACTTACGTCTTGAAGGGACATAGTGCATAAAATATTCTATACAAATTAACAGGTTTTGATTCTCAATTTAATACTATTATGTATAATTTGGATTTTTTTTTTACTTTAATCATTTAACTCTAAATAACCTCAGTCTAATGAAACTCTTGACTTAATAAAAGTAAAAAAAATATGGATCTTGATAAAAGCAGTCATTTCAAACATTTTTCACTTTAGATGAGAAATACACTAAGAGAAAACTTACAGTTACCAGTTAACCATTAAATGCTACTGTATTGCAATACAATGTTTTGAGTGGGGGAATTCCTAATGAGATAAGGAATATGGCTTATTTAAAAGGATTAAATCTGCAATTCATTGAAGCTCAGGCTAATATCACAGTATCATTTAAACATTTGCAGTTTTGATCAGTTCTGTTTGATTGTCCTCTTCTCTTCTTGTCTAGATGTGAGAAGGAATACATATATAAAGTGAGAATACAGACATTTTGTGTTTTGTTTACATTGCCCAATTTCAGAATGGAATCTCATTAAATTTATTCTAATTTAAGTCGCAAATGATATAAAGCAATTTATAAAATGCTATTTAATGTTTATATAGATAAGATAAAATGATTACCAATGTTAGTGAAAAAATAATGATTTGGTTCTGTAGAACTTCTCAACTGCAGACATGTAACTCTATTGCAATATATCATTTCAAGAGGATCAAAGAATCCAATGTAAAGATTATGATAAAAAGGCATTAATTTGAGTAAAATCATGAATATTAAAGATATTCTTGAAATATCAATGATTCTGTTTTAAGACCTCATTAAAAATATCTGTAAGTAATGAGACACACAACTTTTCAGTGGAAATATTTTCAAAAGAATAAATTATTTCTTGTATACAATGAAAACTGTAATCATAATTGTTTTTAATTTTTAAGCCTTACAAAACTGCAGATGGTTGTTAAACACTTAATTCTAATTTATAGTTATTCATTTTTTGTGCTATCCTCCAAAAATCTTAATAAATTTAATAAAAAATTGAAGAATTTTGCAGTAATTAAATTATTATTTTTATTTTGCCTTTATTCAATTTTAAAATTGTGTTAATTTTTGTAACCTCCCTTTGGAATTTTCACGTTATGTACTTGAATACTCAATATTTTAGATGAATAGACAAATCAAAATATTACAGAATTAGCTTCTCAGTAAAAAAAAAAAAAAATGTTTGACAAGACTCCCAAATTAGAGAGCTGTGATTTTCATTATTTTTCCCCATTTTTTTTTTTTTTCTTACTCCTTCTTTGGCAGGAACTTGAAGAGGAGAAACTGAATAAACCCACCGACATAGAGGTAAGGTGGCAGGTGAAGTAGGGGCACTGCATGACTTATACTCCACCTGCTAACAGGAGGCTCTGAAGTGGGTGAGATACAGCCAGCACTTTGGTTGTTTCTCTCATCCTGACTCAGAAGGGAAAAAAGCATGCACTAACTTTGCAAAGCTATTTATACCATTTGATGGTGTACAATTCTAACCTTCCATTTGAATGACATGAGACAACAGAAAGCTGTTGTTGCCTGTCCATGTTATACTTATATAATATCTAAATGAGTTTTAATCTTTCTAATATATACTTTTGTATTTGATTATTATAATTCATTTCTTATGTTGTGAAATTATTACTTTAATCAAAAGTATCTTGTTTACACACACAAATGAGATTCCCCCAGAATTACATTTAAGTAGGTATATGTATCCTTATAATGTAAGTATTATTTAATAATATATATAAATAAATAATACAAAAATAAGTATTATTTATTTAAGTTGGTGTATGTATCCTTCTAAACAGTCTGAACAAGAATTACTTTTTCTTATCATACTGTATTTATCCAATTTATTGCCAGTACAAATAAAAGCATATTGTTTGTCTACATTTCATTTTTGCATACTACAAGAATGTCTATCATAATGATTTGATCAATTTCATGCAATATATAAATTCAATGAAATTATACTGTGTTCATAATATAATTAATGATCATTTTTAAAAAATGGATTAAATTAGCTCAGTAAAACATTCTTGTAGGTATCCATATTTAATTAATAAATGGTCAGTTTTTTTTAATATTAATGGCATTCCAATATATTTTTCAGAAGCAACACTTGTACAATTTGTTTCTGAAAACATCAGTTTATGAGTTGGGATCAAATACAGATCAAATAAAGATTGGAATATGTCATGTCAGAATAAAGAACAAATAAGAAGTGTTTATCAATCTAACATATTTCACTTTTATTAAAGCTTCATCAAAGAATGAGATATGGAGAAAAAGAAGAAAAAACATTTGGTAGTTTTACTTTTATGTTTGATTTCCATTGGTTAATCATATTTCACTTGCATTCGACTTGTTAAACGAATGTTAGTATAATTTATGGCATTCTAAATTCAAGGAGAGACAACACATCCATTCAAAGTTCCAAGAAATTAATGGATTCCAAGCTTAACTGAAAAAACCATAAATATTGCTTTATGTAAGTGCATAATAATTCTAGATTCTATATGTGGGATTCAGATGATAATTTATATTTGTAAGTGTTTTTGTGTGTGTGTCTAGTAGATATTGTTTGGTGATTTTTGCATGTTGATTTGGGAATATTTTTACATACATACCATTTGTATTTTTGGGGGAGGCACCTCAGCATGGTGTAATGGTTAGTAAGTTTGTCTCAACTGAAAAGTGAGTTTTATCCTCATTAGATGCCTCATACTTTTGGCCTTGTGCCACATCTAAGATACGCTTAGAAAATACTCATACTGTTTGTTTTAGATAAATATATGTTAGATTATTTAAGACTGGATTCAGTAAAAGTTGCTGATGTAAGTTTTTGATACGTATTTATGGTTGTTAATATAGTTATTAATAATCCCTCAAACTACTTTTGATATAAAGAATTATTTTCTTTTTTAATTAGGGTAGCATTTGTAAAATCAAAGTTATGGCCAGTTTTGTTCCTGTGTGTTACAAGTGAGTTTGAATGGTTGTCTAATCATAAATCTTTTATGTTCATAGATATGGGCTTTTAGATTTTGAGATCTTTCTAATATAAGTGCTTTTACATTGTAAGCAATTTATTTGATAAGTACTGGCATCTTTTATTTTTCTTCCTAATAATATCTCTGATTATCTTGGTGGTAAAGATCCTAATATTGTAAATAAAGTTTTGTAGAAAGTGTGTTAGATGGCAGGATTATGAATTTTGTGTTGTTATTAGAAGTGATATTGGTGGTGTCTAGTTTTGGGAATTTGTGGATTTTGTAACCTGTTTTCTAGCATTGAGGATGAAATGATGTGGGTTGCTAAGAAGTGGGTTTACAGTTAATTCTAAAATCTAATTTGTTAAGGTTATACTAATAACATGTTGGTGGGGAAAAGAAGAGATTTGTTTATTTCAAATTCATTTGTGAATTCAAAGGTATGTTCAACTTTATTAAGTTTTTTATTATATCTAATAGATTTATATTATGAGGATTTTATAAAAGAATGTTATCTATGTATATCTAACAAATACGATCTAATTAATTTTTATTACGATCACAATCAAAAAATAAAACCAGGATTAGTCATAGATTCTACTTCAGAGCCCTTAGAATATTTAGCCCAGAATACCAAGGTGAAGAAGAAAAATACACTGAGAAAACATTTACACAAGCATTCAAACTTGCTTGTAATACACAGAAACAAAACTGGCCATAACTTTGATTTTACAAATGCCACACTAATTAAAAAAGAACAATTCTTTATATTGAAAGTACTTCATGGGATTACTAATAAATATATTACCAACTATAAACACATGTCAAAAACATATTACATCGCCAAACTTTATTGAATCTATTCTTAAAGAATCTAACATATGCTTACCTAAAACAAATGGTATGTACATAAAAAGATTCCCAAATCAACATGGGGAAAAAAAACACTAAAATAATGCCTACTAGACACATATACACACACTTTATCATCTGAAGCCTACATAGACAAACTAGAATTATTATACACTTACATACATAAAGTAATATTTACAGTTTTTCAGTCTTTGGCATCCATTAATTTCTTGGAATTTTGAAGGGACACATAATCTCTCCTTGAATTCAGAATGCCATAAATTATACAAATGTTCGTTTACTTTGGTAAAGCAGGATTTAAGTCTTTTCAGTTAGCAGATACACTTTGATTTTTCATTGAATTTTTTTTATTGTAACCACTTTTCAAATTTCTAATTTAAATAAATTAAAAATGAAAGAATTTTAATAACTGACATAAAACTTCCATTTTTAAAACTGAGTTCTTAATTTGTTATAAGTGCTATAAATTATATATGTAATTATTTCATTATTAAGGAGATCTGGCTACAATTAGCTGTTTTTTTACTTTTCCTTCACCACATTTGAATGTTTTTTGGATTTTTTATTATTTTCTTATTTATTTATTTATTTTTTTCAGTCAGTTGTTCAGTAAATATTTAATTTGTACCTTGTTCTTATTTATTTTTACAAGTTTGCATAATGTCAGATAAAAGGATGTATTTCACTGAAAAGTAGGGACATAGTTGGTGGTGTTTCTGCTAATTTTAATATTTAAGATGTTTTCACTTTTAAATTTTTAGTTTTAGAAAAATCTGTACTTTAAATTTAATTTTAATGTTAGCACCAGACTACTGAAATGACCTCTTGTATATATATTTTTATATTATACTGAGGTATGAATTACTTTATTAATCATTTCAAAAAAAATTTTTGCATTATGATAGCAAATGACTCAACAACATAAATAGTTAAAATAAATTTTTATTTACATTCTGTCATTTCCTTTAAAATATGATATAGCTTATAACTTTGAACCATTATTTTACATACTATAGGCATTCTGTTATGTTAATATAGAATTAAAAGAAAGTTTTTTTTTGCTTGTTTGCTTTATATAAGCAATGTTTTCATCAATTAAAATTTATGGATGTTGTTTTTCTTTTGTCATATATCGTGTTGCAAATATGCTTTTAAATTTTAAGAACACTGATACACATCTTATTACTGTTAATAAATAATGATAAAACTTCACCTTTATAATTTAACTTCTTTTTGCTTTAAATTACTGAAATAAGCTGATTTTAATATATATAACATGCCTTCACTCTTTCTATATAGACTTTCTCTATTATATAATTTTAATTTCTTCTACAACTTCAAAAATATTTCAGTTCTCAGACACTTTTAATCTTTTGCAATATGATATATGGTAAAATGATTGTTGCATTTCTAATTCATTGGTAAGTTTCTTTTGAGATTGTTTCTTCTGGAATGTTCTTTTTCTTTATATATATTTCTTTTTTTCTTTCTTTTTTTTCAATCACTAATATAACAAAATCTCTTTCTTGTGTTTCCTCTTTGCTCTCTCCTACAGATTTGACATTTTCAATTGTTGATTTAATGCAAGGTGGGTGGGATTCATTGAGTTAATGCAAGGGGGTGGGATTATGACCACTTACGCAAAAAATGAAGGATTTGCCAAGAGAAATCTAATATTCTGTTCATAACAAGCTGATGGATATAAATGTTGGTAAAATATTTTTTATTGAAATCATTTACATATGTTACCTCTTGATTCTAAAATCACAAATTTTATTCTTGAACTCCTAGAAGAACAGATTTCTGCTTTTAAGGCACTTAAGCTATTTTTTGCCAATATTTTAAATGGCTTCATTTAAAGGCATTTAATTTTTTTCCTTCTCCCAAAACAATGATACTTTGTATAGATTAATGTGCTTAAAAGAATTTAATTGTAGCTAATTTATTTATAAATTATGAAAACAAAACTTTTAAATGACCTGTAGGCAGCTAACAAAAATTTGTTTTATATAAACTTTGAGATGTCATTAACACTCTAAAATTATTTTGGACAGTTGAGTACCCCCTTTGTATTCTTGATATTGCTAAAATATTTTAGCTGATCAATTTTTCAGCCATTATAAAGTGTATAATCCATAAGAAAAGTTTATTTATTTAGAAAATGTAAGCAACAAAATAGTTACTAATGTGTGAAACTAGTAACACAGATGCAACTCAAGTGATTTTAATTTATACATGGAACAGTACAGAAAATATATAAGAAGTTTAAAAAGGTAACAATAATAGAATGAAATTAAAAAGAATAGGATTAATTTTGACAGGATGATTAAATAAGGAACAAATAGGAAAACATCTATAAATTTGACATGTTTCACTTTATTAGCTTGATTAGAATTTTTTTTTAAATGAAGGGATATCAAATTCTATGCTGTTTGTTTTCATTGCTCATTTAGATTTTGTGTTTATATATTTTGTCATTACTGTGTTTGTTTGTATGTGTATGAATTCTAGTAAGTGTTTTTCAAAACACTATGAACGTATAAAAAGATTTTTATAGTAAAAATACCAGCAATATATTTTTTGACAAAATAAAAAAAAAAATTACCGGCAATACATTTGACTCTCAACAAAAACCCACTTTACAAAAATATGTCAATGAAACCTGATCTAGACCTATTGTAAAAATCTTGTTGGCATTAAATAACTCATTGTGGTTGAAATGCTGTAAAAAAAACAAACTAAACATTAAAGTCAGATTTGAGGGATATGAGAAAGCCATAATGAAAGATGGAGTGATGAAAAAAAATGGTAGACCAAGGCTGGACCTCATTCCAGGGCTTGGCATGAGGTCCAGATTAGTACTGATGAAAAAGTTGAAAGCAGTGGAATATATTGGCTTATTGGTCAGGTGCATGTCAGGCTGTTATGGATTTCAACACTGGTTTTCTTACATGTGGGGAATTAAAATTACCAAACATATATATGGGTCATAGCATGGTTTTGTGTGTCCATTTTGTGTTGCTGAAATGAACTGACCTGATTGTTTATGTTTATTTCTTTGAAGAAATAAGATTTTCTTTTCTTGGGGGGTGGGGGATTATACATTTGACAAAGGATGAAATAGTATAGTAACAAAATCAAAAAGCACAAAGAAAGCATTTAATTGTCTAAGCAAAATTTATTTATTTTCATTTTGTATAATGTCTGTTTAGCATTTGAAGATATTTGAGATTAGAAATACTCACTTTAACCTTAGATGGATTCACCTCATCTTACAAATTTTCAATTTGTATTGTCTGTATTTTTATTTAATTTTCAGATGACACTGTCATAAAATGGAGGCACAATGGAGTAATGAATAGCGGCTCAGATTGAGGAATCGAAGAGCCAAGTTTGAATTCCAGTCAAATCAATTACATTCACTTACGTGCTAATACCCTTGGGAAAGGTATGAATCCACTTCTTCTCCCTCCAGCTATGGGCAAATAGCAAGACAGACCGGGTTCTATAGCCCTGGATGGCAACCTACTGCGGAAAAAATCTGCCTTGTCAGTCATTTATCGAAAGATACATGATCACCTAAGCAGGTATCATGCATGGCACATAACTGACTATCATAAAATATCCATGTGATATAGAAAATATAGTTGTTTTTCTGAATGATTTTCTTCTTTGAACTATTTGTAATAACAATTATGATTTATTTAATTGAAAATGTCTGGATTTATTTATTATGCATGTAGTGTGAAGTGTGTGTATATATTATTTATTCTTATGCATGTAGTGTGTGTGTGTATATATATATATATATATATATATATATTTCATCTCATTTGATGATTAGTAGGGATAATTCCAAGGAGGACATTAATCCAAAGAGAGCTCAATTCCTCTTTTAACTTAAAAATTTTTTTCTTTTCTTTTCTTTTTTCCTCTCCTTTTTACTTTCGTCTGGATAAATTTATTCCATTTAAAAAAAAAACAAACAAACTTTGGTCTGAAGAGATGAATATTTGTATATTCATGAAATAAATTATAACTGAATGGATTTTTAAGGATTGTCTGTACTTATGGGGTGTAACGGCAAAATATCTAAAATTCCACTAAACTAATTGAGTTTCTTTTTTTTCCAGGTTTTCAGATAAGACATTTGGCAATTTAACACCATTTTTTGTAAAAATCCCTGAAAAACCCTTGGAGTTATTCAGCTAAAAAGAGTGCAGGTTAAAATTGTTTTGTCTCAGATCTATTACTTTCCCAAAAGTGCAATGGTGAAAGGAAAAAGATCATTCAGACTTTCAGTAATGGTAACAACATTCATACTCTGGCTTTCATCTTCAAAGTTCATTCAAGAACCATCAAGAGAACAGTGAATAAGTTTAAAAAAGAGGGAACAGTAGACAGAAAAATTGAATCAAGAGGTCATAACTGCAAGAGTGATCATCAGTAGACTCAATTCATAATATGTTTAGCATATATGAGAGGTGTTTCAGCCAAAAAGCAGTGAAAAAAAGACTTGAATATTAAATCCTACATGAAACTTGTGTGGAACCTTGTTACTCCAGGACAGAAAGTTAAAAGGTTAGAGAGGGTGAAGATCATCATAAGTTGGAAAATGATTTTTGAATAATATATATTTCAATCTTTCACAAGTTTCCGATCCTTAGCTAAGATTAATTAATGATGAACATGTCATTTTCGTTTATGATCTATTTCATCACGATACTTCTGTTAAGCTTAGAGAGTAATTATTCTTATTGCTCAAAGTAGATTCCAATAGTGTTATAAAAATCTCAGAGATATCTTTAATCATTTCTAAGATACTATGGTTCAGAGCTTAATCTAACAATTGGAAACTTTTCCTGTTACACAATTTGGACAATTTTGCAGTTACACCCAATATATATATATATATATATATATATATATATATATATATATATATGTGTGTGTATATATATATATAATCATACATATACATATTGAGTGCTGGTGGTAATAAAACAATGTATAGTAACAGCTAAAATTTATTTTAATAATAAATATACATTTTGTTCCTCAACTCTGAGTTTCATGCTCAATGAAATTATCAGGGGCTGATTGAAAACTCAGTCAGCACGTAACGATTGTATCATGCATGAAACTTGCAGTAAGTAACAGAATGTATATTTATTATGTATGTACATTTTTGTATGAATGTGTGTATATGTTCTTGGATAGGCCATTTTGATAACATTCATAAATGAAGTTTAATGATTTTTTTTCTTTTCAGATCATTTTCAAAGTCAGTAATAAATAACTAAGACTGACCATTCATTTCTTTGTCTCCACCTCTTTCTTAGTGACCCCAATTGATTTTCTCATTTGTAAATATAAGTAAATGTTAGTGACAATACATTGTTAAATGATAGACTATTAATTACTGATTTCCTAGTATCAAATGCTTTTTGTATACCATCAAATATTCAAGTAGATATTGTTGTAAAAGCAATTTCTTTGGCATTTTCAAGAAGAATTTTTATTTTCATTATTAATGGATAATGAAATACAACTCTTGGTTTTTAGTTCAAATAACAAAGTAGAAAAACAGACCTCAAAGGTCTTCTGGTATACTAATAAAATGCAAATTACCTAGTTTGGCTATCTATACTTTTCACTTTCACCTATCAAATTAACCCCATTCCAAGTGTAGATTTTCTTACCTGTAAAATCCACACAAGTAACTCTCTTAGACCTGATAATTTTATCAAATAATTTATAGTGAGATTTGTTTATAAAATAGTTCAGAGATCAAATAAATAAATGCCCTGTATTTTAATTACATTGATCCAATTTTTTAATTTAAATAAAAAAAAAAGCAAAATATCTTTTTCATTAATTATTTTACAAAAATGTACATGACTCAATTTGATAAACAAATTTTTTTTTCATAATCCTTTTCAATTATATTACCATGTAATTTTTCTATTTAAACAGATTAAAATGTTAAAAGTAATCTAATATATTTAGATTATTTTTACATTATAAAAAAATGTGTAATATATTAATACATTCAGTAAATTCAGAATTTAGATTTGGGGTACTGGAAAAAAACAACAGATTTATTATTTCATAAATATATTAGTCTCTACTTTATCAGATCTCATTAATGCAATGAAAAGGTTTTCACAATAAAACTGATATTAACAAACAGATATTGGTAAAATTTACAAAATATACTTACAGGTAAAAAAAAAAAAAAAAAACAGAATTATTGTAATTTCTTGAATAATGTTTTCTGATAATATTTTTTTCATAAGGTTTAAGCTAAAAGAGTATAGTCATACAAAACAATACATTTTTGGAAAATTATAGCTGAATCCCTGCACACAAATTATTATTATTACAATAACTTTGCAGTTTTTTCTTAAGTATTAAGGCAAATTATAATGATAATTTAACAATGAATTTCCACTATGTTAATTTTTCCAACTTCATCTTATATTTGATATTACATGAAGAGTTGCAAAGATGTTTAATGTCACATTCCTTTCTTTACTATATAGGATGGAAGTTAAAATGAAAAAAAGAAAACCTTTAATGATTATCTAGATTATATCCTGCTGTATTGATAATGTTTTTGATTAATGAAAACAAAAAACAGCATTATTCTTTAAAAATTAAATTGAAAATTCAAAATCAAGCATTTTACCTGAAGAGTAATATTTGAAGACTAACAAGAACAATTTCTGGATGTTTTGTACAATAATTATAACAGGATAATCAATCCTAAGTTGGAAATCAATATTTTGTATATATTTTTATATACTTTTCAAATGTCCTTTTTTAAGGCCCTAAGAAAATTTTGTACCCACCACAAATTGAATGTTTATTGAAATGAAAAATATATATATATATATATATATATATATATATATATCCATGAACTCAAATATTATGAAAATCGAATTTCGTAACGTTTAAAAAGAATAAATGTGGTAATCATTGTTTCCTCTAAATCTTTATTTTAGGGCTTAAAATTTTTATATGTTTGTCTTGATGGCAATCAATATCCTTTTTCCCCTCCCTTGATTTTCTAATGTGATTTTCTTTTCAGTTTTAATATTTATATCTTTTCTTTCATGTCTCATACACAAAAATGTGTTGGAATGTGAAGTTCAGATTTCCAGACAAGACATTTAGAGAATTTAAAATGTAAACTTTTTTTATATTACTTAACTACTATCTTTATATCTGTTTTCAGGAGTCCCTTGCTGATGTTGACCATGACTTACAGCAGATGAGGCAGGAACTTCATAAATTAATGGGTGTCATTGAAATCAAGGATCAGGAAATTGAAAACCTAAGCAAACAGTTGAAGTCTGCACAAACTCAGGTCTATAATCAGTAAGTGTCTTTATAGTTTTCCTTTTTGATTTTGTCAATGTTGGTTCATGATTTAACTGGGGGAATAACTGTTGTAGTGACCTCCCTCTAAAGCGTCTGTTAGACTTTTCCACCTACTATAAGATTAGTAGGACAGAAAGCTTCAAGGAACAGTGACTAGATTGAGCGCTAGTTCATTCAATACACTCTCACTAGTCGGGTAATACTCTTCTGGTGTACTTACTGTTTAATATACGATATAAACCTGGTTTTTGTTATTACTTAACCATTTACTTGGTCACAACATCTTGGAGATGAAGAAACAGACTTCACGTTAAATTTTTTTTGCCAGTGTCTACAACAGTGGTGAAGAAAAGAATTCTAATCCAACTTTATGACAAAAGGGTATCCAGTGTTAATTTCAACACTGACAGTGAAAAAAAAAGAAACTGTTCAAAACAAGAGGATTTCTACAAGTTCAATTCAGTGGTTGGGAAGAAGGTTGGTGAACCTTATTTTTTCCATTCCAACAAGTCAGTAAAAGAACTGTACAAGTCAAACAGACTTATTTAAGAGGGTAAAGAGAAAAAAATTCCCCCCCTCTCATTTCTTAGTTTTACACAGTAAAATGGACAAATTTAAAAGTGCAATGCTAGAGTAGTTGAAACGCCAACAGGAACACCAACTACTGTTGGAACAGAAATATCAAGAAAGACAAGAGGAATTCCAACGAGAACAAGCAGAATACCAGAAGAAATTTGAGGAATTGCACCTAGAAATTCAGGTTAAACAGCAGAAACTTGAAGAAATGCTCCTTCAAACACAGAATAAGCAAAGGCACTTGTATAATATATCCATCAAAAGCCAAAACGAGGACAGCGAAAACGCGTTCTCTCAAAATGCCATATGGAGTGCTATTGAAAACTTCACATTTGCACGTGAAGAAGAAATTACATTCGCTTTGTACATTTACGTTACGAGGACTTATACAATATGCATTGTGCAAGTTGGGCTGACCATAAAAAGATTTGCCTACTCCTCAGGAAGTTAGGCACAGCAGAATATACTAAGTTTGTTAACTATATTTTGCCTAAGAAAACCAGCGACTTGAAATTTAAAGAGGTGGTTCAATCATTAACAGAACTGTTCAGTCCAATAACATCACTGTTCCACAAGTGTTGGAAATGCATGAATCTCACCCACAAAGATGAAGATTATACTACTTTCATGAGTGTAGTCAATAAACGCTGTGATGACTTCAAATTGGCAGAGTTATGGACCAATAATTTTAAATGTTTGATTTTTGTCCTGGGTTTGATTTCAGCAAAAGATGCTGAAATGCGTTGTTGGGTACTCAACAAGCTTAAAAACGAGCCTGATGTTATTTTACAGTAAATTGGTGAAGATTGTCAGTGTTTCGTGGGTGTCAGAGATGATTTGAAAAACATCGAACAGAGTGGCATGGCTCAAGAAAAATCAAAAAATACACCAACCAAAGAATAAAGTTATGTTGCTGTCAAGATTATGTTTTGGGTATGGTCAATTACATTGGTACAGAGATTGTCCTTTTAAACATAAAAAATGGTCTGGATTTTGCGGTGGCCTATCTTGATGACGTCCTAAGGAAAAGCGAGAGCATCAAGGAACACAAATCGCACGTTTGGCAGGTATTCAGGAAAATCCAGTATTACAAATTCAAATTAAAAGACAGGAAGTGTGACTTTTTCTTTAGAGAGGATTAAGTACTTGGGGCAAATAATTGACAAAGACAGTGCAACGGCAATAAAGAATATGCCAGGACCAGAATATGTATCGGCTCTTCAAAGTCTTTTAGGTCTTGCTAATTATTACGTTTTTGTCCCAAGAATGCACAGTTTGAGAGCTCCACTTAATGAATTATTGAGAAAAGATAAATAGTGGGAATGGACAACCAAATGCCAGGAAGCATTTGAGAAAATAAAGGATGTTCTTACATCAAATCTGTTCCTGACTCATTATGATCTAAACCTTGACATCATTGTAGCAAGTGATGCTAGCTCCTACGGCATCGGGGCAGGCATTTTACCCAAGTTAAAGGATGGATTGGTAAAGCCAATCACCACTGCATCTAGGACGTTATTACCAGTTGAAAGAGGTTACTCGCAAATAGAAATGGAATCCTTAGGAATCATTTTTGCAGTGACTAAAATAGATTTATTCAGGGAAGGTACTTTTTTTGCAGACAGTCCACTCCTTACTATCTTTGGATCAAAAAAGGGTCTGCCAACACATACTGCTAATAGACTGCAAAGATGGAGAACCATTCTCCTCAATTATAACTTCAAAATGGAGTTTCTCCCATCTACTAAAGTCTGTCATGCAGATGGGTTGTCTCGATTGATACCTAAATATGCTGAATCCCTGGAAGAACAGGTCGATTGCTGACATAAGAACAGAGGTTGAAGTAAAAAGTACCTTGTGCAATACTGTCAGGGAGCTTCCTATAACAATTGACGAGATAATAGACAAAGTGTCCGATGATGAGTTCATAAAAGAAGGAAAGGACAAACTAAATAGTAAAGATCAGAATATCTCAGAAGTTTACTCACTCTGTAACGACATACTAATGTATGGAAACGGAGTAATAATTCCCATCTACACTACAGAAAAGAACATTAAAGGAATTCCATGTTGGCCATCCGGGAACTTCAAGAATGAAGAGTCTGATGAGGAGTTACGTCTACTGGACCAACATAGACAAGGATATTGAAAACACAGTAAGATTGTGCAAAGGATGTGCTTTGGCTGTTAAGCACCTCCGAAAAAATTCAGTCGCTGGCTTAAAACCGACCATCCGTGGTCGTGGATACACATTGATTTTGCTGGTCCACTTCATGGTTTTTACTACCTTGTAGTAGTTGACAGTTGTAGTGGCCAGAAATATTGAAATGTAAGAAGCCAACCATGGAGGTGATAGTAAAATTTTTGCATGGGCTATTTTTCCGTTTCAGAGTTGTTTTTATGTCCACCTGATCTCACAAAAAATGCATTTTCTCAACCACTCTTGCAAATTCTCCTAGCTCTGGAACTGTGTCTTTCTTAAATTAAGGTGTCAGGACAGCCATATTTTTTTCTTTTCCTTTACTCATTTTGCACACTAGACATATACGTGCTCATTTTGCCACACAAGGTAAGTCGTCTTCTGTTCTACACAGCACATAAAAGAAGATTATTTATCTTTCTATTATGTTGCCATTTAATGTTTTACCCTGGTCGTATTAAACATTTTCAGAATTCTTAGTTGAAGCATCTATACTATTATTCTGCTTTGTATGTATGACTTATGCTTTCTCTTTGGGATAAAAGAAAAGTATCTGCCCAATCTTTGGCTCTCCTGAACTGGAACCATTTATGCTTTCTGACTGAGAAATCTACATAATATTGGAAGAGAATTGAGGAAAAGAAGAAGGAAAAGAGATTCCTCAAGAAGAAAGAGAAAAAAATGAAAATTGAGAGGAAAAAAGTATAAGTAAATAAAAAGGAAAAAGATAGAAATGAAGAACAAGAGAGAGAAACATAGAAAGTTAGAGAGGGTTGGCTGAATATCAAAAAACAATAAGCAAAAGCCAGTTGGGAAAGTGTAGAGAGAAAGTAAAAGAAAGAAAAAAAGATACATATACGTTATATATTTTTTGCATATGAATCCATATTTGTATAACATTTAGATAAAAATGTGGATGGGCATCAAAGTTTGGAAAGCATATGGGAGAGAATAAAAAGATACAGACAAAGGTTAAAAGAAAAATCAGAATCAAAAAATGCATCCATGAAATTTTTATGAATGCAGTTCATTCTCAATTATTTTATTTATTATCAATGCTGTTCATTAGCAATTGTAGAATTGCAGTCTGGGAATTGCAATAGAAAGCAGCAGAAATAAAATAAAAGAAATAAGAGTAAAAGATGAAAAATTGAGCATTTAATAAATTAAAATCTATTACATTTCTTCTCTATTTAAATCTAAACATTTATTTTGTTTTTAATTTCCAGAGAAGAAACAGTGAAGCAAATGAAAGAAACTATACAGCAAATAGAAACGAAAGCTGCTAGTAATTTAAGCAGGTATGAAAAAAAAAATGAAGTTTTCTGCTCACATACAAATATTTTCTCTGTTATTTTTTCAAATGAAAACATGAACCCATTTCACATTGTTTTTTTATAATGTTTAGTTTTTTGTTTTAAAAAGATGTTAGATTGATCAATCTCACTATGTTAAAGAGAATATGTATTTATTATTTAACCTTTACCACACCACAGGCGACAATAGTCGCCAGAGAATTCTCTCCCTTTGGTATTCTGGGCGCATTCAGTTGCCATGACATGGTTACGATAAATAAACACTTGTCAGTTATTATTTCCGGTATTTTAAGCTGGAAATAGTCTTGTAAACCTTTGAAACAAGTTTTAACTTCTGTTTTCCAATGCCATTTTTAATTCTTCTTCACTCTACATAATGTATAACATTGAATAAACCTGCAGTAATTTCATTGCAATTTTTTTGTTTACGAAAATGGCCGCTGGAACATCGAATGAAGCCTTTATTCAGGAGTTTCTTTTTGATTCTGACTCCGATGATGATTTTGAGGGATTTACTCTGGTGTATATAAATGGTGAAGTTGTTGAAAGACAGAGAACACACACTTGTGATGAGGAAGAAAACTATGATGACTCCGAAACGCCAAGCAGCTACTACCATCCCTGGCTGACTAATTTCCTGGCAGTTACTGGACCCATGAATTTACCTTTCTGAAGGTGAATTATTTCGTTTATTGATAAATGACGAAATAATTACTTTATTTTTCAATGAGACAAATATGCTTGTCAAATGAAAGAAAGGAAGGGGACGAATGTGTGTATCTACGCATATGTAAACACATGGGACAAAATCACTTTCACTGAAATGAAGGCTTTCTTAAACATTTACTTCTTGTGGGACTCACAAAGCAGCTGTCATTTCACTTATACTGGTCAACAGATGTTTTTATCCAAATGTCAGGTTTTTAGAAATATTATGCCACAAGACTGGTTTTTGAGAATTTTGTCCTTTTTTCATCTGTCTGACAATACACGTGCAAAACTGAGGAACCACCCTGAACATGATAGAGCATACAAGATTCAGCCATTTTCTGACAAACTCGTGTCACTTTGGCAGAAATACTTTTATCCCAGAAAGGAACTTTCAGTGGATGAAAGTATGATACCTTTAAAAGGCAGGACGAACTTGCTAATGTATATGCCGGCAAAACCAACCAAGTAGGGCCTGAAAGCCTGGGGACTAGCAGACTTGAAAACCGTGTACATTTATAATTGGCAGTTATACTTGGGCCGCGAAACAGCTCAGGTACCAAGGACTGTTGATGTTGCTCACAAAGTTGTCTTCCTTGTCGGAGAATATACAAAACAGAGGACATGTAATTTACATGGACTTTTTTTTTTTCATCCCCTGAATTGTTTCACCACCTAGCACAAAATGGAACAGGGGCATGTGGCCGAATGAAATAAAAGTAGCAAAACCTCAACCAGGTGATCCCCCCCATCATGCACTGAGATGGGCACATTTTATATATTACCTGGTATGACAGAAGGCCAGTAAATTTGATGACAACTGCCGACACTGCTGAGACCTTCAGTAAAACAACATCAAAATCATACCAAGATTGTGTACAAGCCTTATGCTGTGCAGGCCTACTCTCAGCACATGGGGGGAGTAGACAGAGCTGATAAGCAGCTAACGTAGTACATTGTGCTGCATCGATCTGTCAAGTGGTGTAAAATAGTTTTTTTTATTTACTTGAACTCTGTTTCTGCAATACCCTGGTCATCTCGAAAGCAAAGTGAGCTTCCTGAGTCAATGCTGAAAAGTTCAGACTAAGCATTGTACATTCCTTGACAGAAGGCTACGAGTCAGCTGTGTCTCACAGGAGAGGTAGGAGGACTGAAGAAACCCAGAAAGGCTGGTGATCAACCCCAAGCGCCCAAAATCTGGAAGGTCATCTCGCCCAGATTGTTGTGTTTGTTCAAACAGACCCAGTTTGTGTGCAGAAAGTGTGATGTGCCACTCTGCTCATAGCCCTGCTTCCAGAGGTTCCAGAGTCTGACAGACTACATGGTAGACTGTACCCCAGAACTCCACAAGCAATAAATGTTAAAGTATGTGAAATTATTAATGTATTTGGTTTTTATTTTTTATTTTGTGCTTCATTTTTTTTTTTTGCTTTCAATGTCAAAACATGCATGCTAAATACAATGCTTTACATCAAAATATTCCTCATCCATTCTTTTATTAGTATACAAAAAAATGAAATCTATACACACAATACAAAGAAAGTTATGACAATTTTAAAATATCATATCATATGCTCATATATTTTGTGACATCAAAAAGAATTCAGTGGCAGGAGGAACAATTCTACAAGGAATTTGGTGTGGTAAAGGTTAACTCACTTTTGAATCTTTTGGTCCTATTACCCTTGCTATCAACTATTAGGATATGATTAATTCAAAATTGTCTTAAGATCATCATCAGCAGTTGTGAAGTCTTTGTCACTAGCCCTAGTGGAGGTGTAGTTGTGGATTTGATATGGAAATCAAAATGAAATCACTTTACATTGTGTTAAGACATTTATTAAATGATAAAATTTCTCAGCTCTAGTTGAAGTGTCCACATGTGGGATACTGCTCAAGTAATGATCATACACAAATTGTTTCTTAGGATTTATTTCAAAACAACAAACTGCTGTATTTAACATTAAATTTCCCACAACAGTTTAACAGGATGTAGGAAATAATTAAATCAGTCATAGTTTGATAGCGATGTGACGAGGACACCTGGTCCAGGGTCGAATCCTTTGGTTCTGGCGCTAACTGTGACGTCGCTCCTCCTGGTCGCTTCTTCGCTGTTCCAAGTGTGCCGTTCCAACCCTTGGTTAGATGATTACCAGCCTCGCCTTTCTCAACCCGCTTCCAACACCTGGTTACTAGGGTAACTGTACTGATCTCCGGTCTGTCTACCCACGTTGTGTTTAGATCTTAGACAGACGGGATCAAACAGGGATTGGGGCCGTATGCAAGTTGAGTCTGACAGGGGTGGCAAAAACACAAGTAAAAGAAAAACTCACGAGACAAAAAATTACTGATAAAAAAGGGTAACAACCTTTTATATCTAATGTTCGTTACATAAAAATTGTTCTTACTTCCCTTTAACCCGCTTTGTGGACTGGGCACCAAGCTCCTATCATACAACTTAAAGACTTAATTGTCTACTCTTCAGAATTGTGTATGTCGGAGTGTGGTCTAGTTCGACACTGGGGCTAATCTCTACCAGTCGTTCACAGCTGATTCTTCTCTTGGCTTGAGTTGGACGTATTTCTTCACTTCGATTTGGTTTGGTGAATTTCTGTTCTTGGGCTTGCTTTGATTTCAACTTCTTCTTCTTCCGTCCTGCAACTCTTTTCTGTCGACTGAGGTTGAACTGATTTGCTTGTTTGGCCTGCAACTTTACTGCCTGTCTGAGGTGGACCCTTTCGCTGCCGTCCGGGGCTGAACTCTCTGTCGTCCGAGGAGATCTCTTCTCGCTGCCATCCGGGCTGAACTGATTTCTGTCGATTGGGGTTCTGCTTTTATTGACGCCTTAGAACAAACCGGGGTGGGTCTGTCGGCGTCAGGGTTTTCTCGATAATTCCAATAGTCGCATTATTTCTGATTTCCCATTATCGCTATTATTTTCACCCTACTTCCTCACAGTGCCTCTGGTGGGGAGGCGATACCCATCTCTCCCGGTCTCTCGTATGTCAGGTGACCGTTTTCGACCAATGGTTCTTGATCGGCGCCCTTTCTCCTCTTTCCCGCATATCACATGACTGCTTTTCGCTAATGAGACTCTGGTTGGGCGTGGCTTATCCCGTCCTTGTTCTGGGAAGGAACACCTTGCTAAAAAAAACAAAATCCAATTTGGTCTTTTTTCGCATACACGAAAAAATGACAATCTTGGCCTTTCTCACCTCCCTGGTTTCTGTCAAAACAGCCCGCCGCTAATTAGATGTGACTTCAGGAAGAATTTTTTTCCGTCTCGCTGGCGTCCTCTGTGAGCCAAGAACAATTGTTTTTTTTACCTCTTTTGTTTTTGCTCAGACCTGATAGTCAAAAATCTTAATTATCTGAATTGAAAATGTCTTCACTTCATCATCGCGGGGAGTTCTGATCTTTAACAGGTCAGAATCTGTACACAATTCAGCGGTCACCTTCTCATCCCAAAAGACACTTTTCCCCGATTAATATTTCGTTTCCATTGTTCTAAAAATCCCATTTCTCCAAATTGATAATGAGTCTTCTACACAAAAGTAGGCCAGATGCTTCAACCGACATTTTTATCAATCGCCTATATGTTCATACACTTTTACCAAGCCTGTTTTTTTCTTTCTTTTTAATTCTATTCTCCCAAATAACAATTCCCATTGTCTTTTTTAAAATTCGGTCAGGCACGTTGGCCTAGATACCTTTTTTGACACCTGTTTTCGCTAATGACCGGCCTTTTTGCATTACTCATTCTCTTTCTCCCTTTTCCTCTCTTTCTTTTTCTTTTCCCCTTCTTTTCTTTCTTCCCTTAGGATCGCCTAATACAATTAGAGAATTATTCTCAAAACTCAATTATTCTTCGTCTAAAAAACTAACAACTGGTTAATAAACCGAATAAAAAAAATTAAATCATATTTCTATGAATATTTCTTTTTTCTATAATGCAAGGTGCCACAATCCTCCCCTAACCGATTTGTCATTTACCCGTAAATGACACCTAAACCCAATTACATCATTTAACATCCACCATGCATTTGTCTCATGCAATTCTATTCTACTTTCTAACATGCAAGGGTAATATTCTTTTCATGCAATGTAATGTTCTTTTCATCTACTTTTTTTTTTTTTTTTTTTTTTTTTTTTTTTGTTCTACATGCAATGTAATGTTCTTTTCATTTTCTTCTGTTCTACATGCAAGGGTAATGTTCTTTTCATCTTTTGTTCTACATGCAATGTAATGTTCTTTTCATCTTCTTTTGTTCTACATG